ATAAAATAAAAAAGCAATGTTAAACAAGCACTTATTATTAAACTGTGAATCTGAATCGCATACATAAAGGTTAGAGTAGATATTACGTAATGTGAGATATGAGTAGATTTGTTAAATCAATAAAAAGAAACAAGGCTAAAAATATAAAATAAAAAAGCAATGCTAAACAAGTACTTATTGTTAAACTATGAATCTGAATCTCATATTTAGATAAATTATCGCAACATAAGCAAGAGTTTAATTACATTGAAGGATTAAGACATATGTATGCTAAGCGTTCCAACTAATACACTAATCAACGCCAAGCGTACACTTGGAGATTTCCACCAAATAAGGATTAGGCAGCACCATGGCGTATGGGGTACTAAAGGACAACCAAGAAAGCAAGAAAAACAAAACGGAAAATGAAGTTTGTTGGCAAAGGATATCGACATTTGTTCTTATCACCACCTGACGCAACATTTCGTGTTGAAAATTATTACTGATCAATATAAAGAAGCACTACCTCACGTTCCTGTCTTGCATTTTCAAACATCTGATTGCAAGTTAACATGTTTTAATGGGGCCTTGTATAATTAAAGTGGACAAATTTTTTTTAATTGCATACTTTTTGTCAGCACATCCTCAGCCCATTTCTCCATATTTTTTCTGTCCCTTGTGTTCTTGGTGGGTTTGTTTTAGAATTGTTGTGGAGCTCCCTTTTTTATAAGGCTTAATTATGCACATGCCCCCTGTGCTTTTACGTTTTTCTCAGATTACCACCTGTGGTGGAAAACGTCTCAAAGTACCCCCCAACGTATAAATAACCGTCTCAATTTACCCCATCCGTCAAATTTCCTGACGGTCCGTTACGAATAGTGGGCCCCACTTCGTTTTAACCTTGAAGCTGTTCGAATAAGGGTTTCTCAGTTTGTAACAAAGGGGAAATTGGGTTTAGGGTTCATTGGAGAAGAGGAGAAGAGGGTTGTTGTCAAAATCTGAGGGTTCCTTCGATTTTGGGAGAAATTGGAGAAGAAATCATTC